AATCGATATTTCTATGGTCATAAGTTTCTTGTTGTATCAAACAATTATCATTGACTTGTTCACAAGAAAGATCAGTGCTCTGATATGATATGGAAGAAATTCTAACAAAGGATGGCTGAATCGAATCAACAGGATTCTTTTCTCTATGATTGGTAAAACTTTGCTAAAGATAATAATAGAGACGATAGAATGAATTTCACACAATGAGATTTTCACAACATAATTATATTTGAATAATGCAAATAGAAAATTTCATAAAAATGTTTCGATTTCGACATACTTTATTATTTACTCAATACAGATCATGAATGAAGTTTGAGGGTATGAATGTGTGTGTTCTCTTCTTTGAGATCAACCTACTCACATTCTCCCTTTAGAAGAAAGCATAACAATATCTGTGTGTTAAACGAACTTGTAAGATAATAGTTATCTTCATCCAGACGCCTAAGATGTACAATCTTTCTGATCAAATTGACCGTTTAATCTAATCAACAATTAACTGTAACATTATGCAATTTCAGCTAATGACTACTAAACTAATATTATGTTTTAAACAGTAAAGCAACATATTCCTAGTGAATTAGTTAATAAAGCAATTTTTTCAATATCTGTATTAGTCATTGGATTTGCGGTTTGCACAAGAATTAACGTTCTCTTTTTAGGAATATGCATCTCTAGAGAAAATACTGAGTCCAGGGTACCCATGTACTGAGAAAGCCCTAGCAGAGTACCCAATATGGGTACTTCAAAAATTCTCAGTAATTATACTGATGTAGGTACTGCGTGTGATTCCCATAAAAGTATGCTTACTGAACAAGTACTTGTATGGGTACTCGCATCTGTAATTTTACTGAGGAAAGCTATACAGGGTACCCTATATTTGTCGCGTTCTGTGTAGCGACTATACATTCACCGTTTTCTTTTTCACACACGGCTGCATATAAACAACTGGGTAAGACATAAGAAATTAATCTATTTTCATACTAATTTTTTCTAGATTATTTCTTGACTATTTCTTAGTCGAGAACATGCCGATCTTGATCGTAGATTAAGAGCAGACCACTCTGAAGGGGCCTGATGGATACCTGACCAACTGAAGTCGGGTCAGATCTCGGCATTGTACCTGCTAAGTTTTCGGAATTGAAAAAATTAAATTGAATAAAATCGAAAAAAAATGTAGCAAATTGCGTTGAGAGAAACAAAAATTAAAAAAAATTAAAAGTCAGGTTCGATCCTGAACATACTGAAATTTTTAAAATCAGTACCTTCAAGTACCCAGTTACTACACATTTTGTAGCAGGGTACTTGTCAAAGTACCACTTAGGTACCTGAAAGTACTTCCAAGTACTTTGGTACCCAAAAGTTCCTGTGACATACTGGTAACAGGGTACTTTTTCGGGTACCCTTAACTCAGTACATTCTCTAGGGATATTTATTTCGCTTAGACGATATCCGAACAATAAACACAGCAGGTATTTGATCATTTATCCGTGATATATGAACGTCATCAAAATTGGTTAAACGTGCTTGACAAATAGGAGTGACATTTTCATACTAAATTTAAACTAGAATTTTAAATCGTACTTCTCGATTTAATCATTTTTTTTTCAAGTGTAAACAGATAATCCCTAACCGACACAAAGTTTCACATCAAGATTAGACCTAGGACAGTTCCCAGTTCTATGAACTGTATATTTTCGAAGAACTGGGTATAGTGACCAGTTCTTTTTCCAGAACTGGTTAAAGTGACCAGCTCTTTAACGAGAACTGTGTGCACCCGGCAGTTCTTTTCTAAGAACTGTACACACCCGGCAGTTCTTTTTCGAGAACTGGTTATTGCAACCAGTTCTTTTTCGAAGAACTGGATTAAGCGTCCGGTTCTTTTTCAAGAACTGGCTACCGTGACCAGTTCTTTTTCGGGAACTGCTTATTGTGACCAGTTCTTTTTCAAGAACTGGATAAAGTGATCAGTTCTTTTTCGAGAACTGCTTATTGTGACCAGTTCTTTTTGAAGAACTGGGTAAAAGTGATCAGTTCTTTTTCAAGAACTGGGTAAAGTGACCAGTTCTCTTTCGAGAACTGGGTGTGGGTTTGGGATGGGTTTTGTGTGGGTTGGGTTGGGTGTTGGTGTTTGTGCGTATAAGTCTTCTCTCAGCATTCACACCTAGGGGTGGGAAGTTACCGTTACGTTTCGGGGTTACCCTTGGTCCTCCAAGTGCTAGCATTACGGGATATACTCGGGTCCTCCTGGAGGACCGAAAAGTACCTCCCAATACTTTGACTTCAGGACGGCAGGGTGCCCCCCAATCGTAAGACTTCAGGGGCCAAGGATCCTGGCAACACCAGTAACTGTTGGGGCAAGGGTACCACGCGACACTTGCACTGTTTGGGCAAAGGCTGCCGCGTAACTCTGGCAGTGGTTGGACCAAGGCTACCCTCCTTCCTGGCAATTGAACCTGATGGGATGAAGGTTCGGCGCAAAATTTGCATAGGTTGGGCCCACATTACCGCGCCGCTTTTTGTGGTGGTTGGGCCAAGGATACTCCCCTTCCCCCTTTCTGGCAATTCAACCTGGTGGCACGACAGTTCGGTGCAAAATTTGCACCGATTGGGCCCACGTTACCGCGCCACTTTTTGTGGTGGTTGGACCAAGGATACCCCCTTCCTGGCAATTAATCCTGACGGCACAACGGTTTGGTGCAAATTTTGCATTGATTGAACGCACGGTACCACGTAATAGTTACACTGCCTGGGCTGAGTGTACCCAGCTATACGAGCACTTGATGAGCCAAAGGTATTTGCTAATACTAGCATTTGAGGACCCAACGGTATCTCCAATAGTGGGGCTTGTCGACACAAGGGTACCCCCAATAGTTGTTCGTGAGGACCAAGGCTATGAGATTGATGATGCTAGGTAGTCCCCTGACCGTTACCTGCGTTCTCGGGTAACTGCGAACGGGGAGTTACCGTTCCCGGTGACTGAGAACTTTTTCGTTACTGTTACCGTTCCCAGGAACGGTCTGGGAACGGTAACTTCCCACCCCTAGTTACAGATCAGTTTCTATCAAAGAACTGGTTGAACAGATCAGTTCCTTTCAAAGAACTGGTAGGCACAGATCAGTTCCTATCAAAGAACTGGTTGTACAGATCAGTTCCTTTCAAAGAACTGGTAGGCACAGATCAGTTCCTATCAAAGAACTGGCTGGACAGATCAGTTCCTATCAAAGAACTGGTTGAACAGATCAGTTCCTGTCAAAGAACTGGTTGGACGGACCAGTTCCTATCAAAGAACTGGTAGGCACAGATCAGTTCTTTTAAAAGAACTGGTTGGACAGATCAGTTCTTTTAAAAGAACTGGTTGGACAGAACAGTTCTCAAAAACGGAACTGATATGGAACTGTCCAGGGTCTAATCAAGATATCAAGCAGACAATATTTCGTCGAATTAGTGAATTTTTTTTTTTTTTATTTTCGTTGGGTCACATTGTGATGCATGACGAACTATACATCATTTTTATGAAAGTATGATTCATATGGGATCGTTTGTAACATGTTTGAGTACTAGGAAAAAAGCCAGTTGCGACATTTGATGTAATAATGTTTCCGATTTTTAAATCTTCCATACATTTTTATTGAAGTCAATATGGGAGAAGTTATTTCAATAGATTCACTTTGCGTGGACAAGCTGCAGCGTTTATTTTGGCAATCTCACGACAGCGATTCAATACGCTTGTTTTCAATCATATTTCATTGTTACGAATACTTTGATTGATCTTAGTGGAGCAGATATGCCCCCTTTACTTACTGAAGCATGTGCGAAAAATCGTCTTGAGATTGTTCGTTTTCTCGTTGAAAACGATTACTCTGACATGAACAAGACAGAGAGCACCAGCGGGAACGGATTTACTGTTATGATAGTGACTGCTTTCCAAGGATTCACAGCTATAATTAAGTATTTAATTGAAATCGGTACTGATGTCAAGTACTATTGAAAAATCAGCCGAAGGCGTAAGTTAACACCTATTCATTTGGTTGTTCAGCGAGATTGTATCGATGCAGGTGCAGATACAAATGTAAACTTCAATAATGTTGACACACTTCTAGAGAGGACAGTAAAAAAAAGAAATTTTTTCCTGTGATCGATTTTTTCTTTTGGAACAATCAAGAGACAACCTCGAGGATCTTCAGCTTGCTACTGGTTCACTAGTTGCTACGAATTTCACCATTGAAGACTTACATCGTCTAGGAAAGCTTTTGTCACTTGCTATTGAATACTGTTTTGCACTCAAACTCCAAAAGTTTTCATAAAGCTGAATATTGCCTAGGAGTATCATCAAGAATGTCAAACTTTCGAAAAACTTGAAACTATTGAAAATGATTCTGATCGAATGTGGATTGAAGCAGCACTCGTTCGAGAATGTATTTTACTACCACAAAATGATGTTACCTTAATATGACCACTACTTGATCGTTACGATCTATTAATATCGATAGACGAATTCGACAAATGTCTTCATTTGTGGATTCATGCATTTTACTTCTACCAAAAGATGCAGATAAATACTCAGCTATTCATTACAATGTAGTATTTAAACCGTGATTTAAATAATCCACGAGACTCTTATTACAAATTAACTGCTGAAAAACAACGAAACTAGCGAAAAAAAGCGAAAAAAATGAAAAAAAATGAAAAATTAACAGCTCAATATCCACAATTTGAATCATCATCAAACATCAACATTATAAACCAACAATTAACATTATGGATGAACTAATTATAAAAGCAAAAGAAACAAAAAGATACGTCGTTGATACAGAATCTCAAAAAGGGAAAAAAGAAAAAAAAGGTGCATTAGTACAAATACAATTCGTACATTCAATCTACAATTCGACGATAATATTAATCAAATGCAACTATTTACCTGATCCACAATCATTATTGTTTTCGAAAACCAAACAATTATGCTAAATTATATTCGATAACAACAACGAAATCATATCATGGGGACCAATCGACAATCCATTCGAAAATTTTCATCATCTCAACCATATCCATATAGGTAAAAAATTTGATGATATTAATTTACAGTCTAAATTTAGGAATTGGTACAACAAAGTATATAAAACGCATCCAGAAATGGAAAGCCCGATGATAGAATCGTGGATGTATCAGTAAATACGTTTGATACGTCTGGTGATGATAATAATAAGAACGATGAAGAAACAATTGATAATGTTCAATTTAATTGTGATCATTCCACTCATTATGATTCAAACGCCACATGGTCACTTCAAGATGCAATTGCAACAGCATTAGAAAAATTTCTTGACAAATTAGAAACAGTAAATCATTGGCAATGTGGTCTTGATCTGGATTTAAATACATGGAAGGATAAAGTATTGAGTCGACATCAATATAATAAATGAACGGAACAACAACAAAGATTAAAAATGAAACAATATGCAATTAATGATTGTGCTGCAGTTGTTGACTTATTTTTTCACATGTATCGAGAAAAAGTAGACGATCATTACATATTGGAAACACCAACAACAACATCAACAAATATTATAATGAATTTGGAACATGAATTATCGGACAATAGTGAAGATGAATTAATTCAATATCTCAAACCAAAGTTCGATAAACGTGAAACAACACTATATCCATCAGATGATGAAAAGAACATCTTAGCAACACAACCAACAGAAGAAGAAATGTGTGAATTTAACATGAACGAAGCTCAACAGGTATAACAACAATCACAAATACAAACAACAACATCGACAAAAAATGAACGGCAAAGAAGAAAAAATTTAAAATTTAAATGGAAGCAAAAGAATCGTCTGGATTTTCAACACAAAGTTAAACGGCCCATTTCTCATAAATATGATTATAAAACAATTCGGGCCCAACTCAAAGAAGATGACATTCATACAAGTCATCAAATTACTATCAATAGACACACAGGTGAAGTTTTAATTGGCTTTAAATCACAACATAAACAAGAAAAGCAAGAACAAAAATGAAAATAAATTATTTTTCCAAAAAACAATACGAACAACGATGGGTGTGGGTGTGGGTACGAAGAAGAACGAATTCGAGTCCATGCACACCTCAGCACACTCACACCCACTCACACCCACACCCTGCACATTTACTTTTTAGTCAAGACTGTGCTTGTTTTGTAAACCCCGATGAGTTATGATTATGATAAAAAAGTTCGTACCCATGGTCTGTTTGTGAGGAAGTCGAACACTTTTAGTTTTATAGCTGGGTATTTTCATGAAATCTCAACCACGTTGTACAAAAACCATCTCTGATTTCGATGAAACTTTCAGCGTTTGTAAATCTTTTAGCTCTGAGCATTTTAATGAAAAAATGTTTTTCGAAACGCTTTTATTTTAAGGGAGACGCACTCAAAATTCTACAAGCAGTACAAACTCACAAACTCTGAAGACAATTTTTTTTCGCGTTTTCTGAGTTTATACTGCTTACAGTATTTTGAGTGCATCTCCCTTAAAACAAAAGCGTTTCGAAAAAAGTTTTTTTTTATTAAAATGCTCAGAATTAAAAGATCTACAAACGCAGAAAGTTTCATCGAAATTGGAGATGGTTTTTGTACAACGTCGTTGAGATTTCATGGGAATGCCTAGCTGTAAAACTAAAAACGTTCGATCTCTTCGCAGACTGACCATGGGAACGAACTTTTCTTTTTATCATAATCATAACTTATTGAGGTCTACAAGATGAGCATAGGCTCGACTCAAAAGTGAATGTGCATCTGGAAGTGTTCCTTCGTTAGTTGTATTGCAGTTTTTTTACATAGATTATCTCCATGTTCTAACTTAAATATACTTCTATCGAAAACAGTATTCGAGAAAGTCGTGTCATTTCATCCAATTCAATTAATTTTCCCTTGGTCTCAAAACAGGTCAATGCTACGTGGATTCTACGCTATACTTCAGGTAACTTCTTTTGGTTCTATGGTTTTGTGTGTTCATGTGAACGGGCATCTTATTGTTGGATGCTAGCGGGCTTCTATTTTCATGCCCCCTTGTGCACACCAACGGACTTCATATATTCTGAAATGATTCTTGGTCTCAGAACTGATTGCCAAATTGTGGACTTTACTGTTTCTACACTGGAATGCTTTTACAATCAATCATGTGTATAGATGCTGATCGATAGTCGCCTTTATGGTTATGAAAATGTCTATGAACCACTTGATTTGAGTCATATAACAGCGCTTCATCCGAACAACGAAACCTTTTTCGTTCTCAAGATCTATTTTCAAGTTTCCAGTTATGGACTTTTATTGATCAATGGAACGAAACGAGAGATTATGAATCATATACTTTGTTCAATGTCAACCAGAGATGTGTACCTTCATGATCGATGAAAAATTGAAACTGACTGCGCTTGTTAACTCAATTTTTGGTCTTATTGGAGGGCTGAATGTTCTCCTTCGTCTTCTTGTTTCGTTATTCACCTACATTATTCATCAAGTTTATCTTTTATATCATCATAGGATACGAAGTAAGAAACTTTATTCTTTGAATGTTTCATTAATTTTGAAGTATTCTAGATATATTTGAACTTCGAACACTGATCGCCTATGTTCTCGAAAAACTGTATCACATAACTGTTTGCAAAAAAAACTCTGAAGTCGAATATCAAGTTTTGACGACACGAATCTATATTGTTCTACTAGTTCCATGTTTGTGATCGTCTCACTTTTCACTGGATTCCAGCATCGTACCATATTGTTAAGCATAGAATCACCAAATGAGAGTTACTTTATATTTCTTTATTCTAATTATTATGATAGTTTATCGTGTCCTTGTACAAACTTATCTATTGGTTATCGTGATATTTTAGATTTTTCATATAAAGCTCATGAGATCTGCCAGCCATTGTCATGGTCAAAGATTATTCTTTTTGTTCAACCACAAACAAACCGGTTGTGAAGTGAATCTAGTCGAGATCTCATTCGAGCACAATTTCAAGCTCTCTATTCCCAATGCGCTGCCTTTTCATTAAACTTACAACGGTTGCTTTTGAATATTGGCCTAAGTAGTTTAATATCAATGAAAACTATGGACTTACGAACATTTGATGCATTTATCAATACGTCAATCACTAGAATAGCGACATATAATTTAGCCGCAGCAGATCATGCCTATGAGTCATTATCCGATATGCTTCAAGTGAACCAATTTCAAAACCAATATATGACGAGCTGGAAAACAGAATTTTCGAGTTCTGATGAAAACTGTATTCTTCGCTATAGCCCAGTTTCATTGAACGATGGCAATTGTTCTTGTGCAAGTGGTAAATCTAATTGTACAGAGAAGCCTACATTTTACAATTCAAATGGTACTTTAGTTGTACTTTCAGGAAATATCTTGAAACAATTCCTCCCGTAGGATTCCATTATTAAATAATAAATATGCGAGATGTCTAATAACATTTCAAATTGAAAAATATTCAACATATCCTGAGCATTATATCACAACTTTCATTCATTTAGGTTTCATCATCGGATGTTCACTCTTTGACGGTCTTTCTCATTCGACATTCCAGTGTTTCTATGATGATGTTTGCGTGGATGAACTAAACAGAGCCTTGGATAGTGATTTTACTAAATTCAATCATAATGCAACTCGATTTCCACCAATGACTCCAATCGGCTCGATTCTGGACGAGCATTTAATAGAGTTCGTTAATTGTTCAGGTAACTATTCAAACTACTCTCGATTGTGCGCTTTATCAAAATGCCAGTATCATTATACAAAACATAATAATATCTTTTACATATGTACAATATTGATTGGACTGTATGATGGATTGACTATGGCTCTACAAATTTTCTTTTCGCACTTGTTGCATCTCAGCCGACTGTTCATCAGACGATGTCTACATTCATTGCAGCGGGTGTCTTCGTCGTTGTAAAATCTAATGAATCGCTCAGAAAATCAGCAATATGTCGCTCGTAACCGAAGGAACCAATGACCGAAAACGAATCGAACCATCTTCATTAGAACTCGTTTTAATTCTGTCTCTGAGAGGAATAATCTTAATTTTCGATATTGTATGTCTTTTTTTGGTTTTTTTCAGCGTAAAACTTGGCACTAAGAATCATTGGCTTTGCTTTTGTTCAATTGCTTTGTATGCAAAACAGCTACTACTGTGCAATAAAAATACATCCTTTCATATCGTACTCTTATTTTTCTCCACATTCATCTATATCAGCCGGAACAAGATTCTACAAACTATTTAATTATCGTGACCATCAGATAATTATGTTTAGAAAAGAAAATTTTAAAACATCATATTACTAATTGAATTGTTAGAGACGATGGAGAATTTGAACCATTTGTTTCAATAGATAATCCTCTACGTCAATCATTTTCTAATAATCTGGGTGTGGGTGTTGATTTGGACACTTATTCTATCTATACTCACAGCCACGCCCACACACTAATTATTATAAAAATAATTATAAATCTGTTAAATGATGTGATCAGACTGCTATGGCAAATTTTATTTTGATAAGCAAAATGATTAATTATTCATGAATTTTAACAACGATTTAGGTTCAAGCCTCTGTCTGAAAAGAAATTCCTTTGATCCTTGTTCTCTCTTGATTTCCTTTTGTTTTGTTTTCTATTTTAATCCTTTTTTTGAGCTTCACTTAGTTTTAAAGTTGCTGAGTTGCTTTTATGATCGATTTCTAAAAAGCAAAAGTTGAGACTAGCAGATTAAACTTGTCTAATTCTTCAGATCATACGTCGGTTTGCTTCCAATTGGTGTCTCTTTAATATAAAAACAAATGCTCTATGAAAAGAAAACAAACGATTTCTTACAAGTAGTGTAAAAGAGTTTGTACTTTGTAACTGTATTATGAACAATTCCCAATAATTTAACATCGAGTTAGCTGAATTATTCAGCAAGGGTGTGGGGTTGGGAGTGGGTGTATGGGTGGGGATGTTGATCATATTGGTGTGGGTGTGGATGGTTGTGGATGTGAGAGTGGATAGGGATGTGGGTGTGGGTTGGGCTGTTGATCATATCTTCACCTACACCCACACCCATACACCGACCACACCCACACCCACATGCTTCTTTTTCAGCATTTCTTCAATTAGATATGTACTATTCGATCAATAAAAATTGATAACCAACGGATCTAAACCGACTTTCGATTTTGGTATCGATAGTAAGGAGTATAATGATTGTAATCAACATAAATGTAATAATCAGCTCTATAGATAAATCTGAAAAATGGAGCATTGCTTGTTTCTTCTTTAGTTTCTTCTCAACAACAAAGAAAAAACTAAGAAAAGGTATACAAAGACAAGATAAGATTTCTAACCGAGATAACATGAATGCAACATGTTTCACCGATGAATATCTCATTTCAACCACGTTGATTATGGCAGAAGAGGAGACGACCGTGAGATCAACAATTATGACTACGACTGAGTTAAGAAGTTATCGTGTGTATCGTATTCGATGGCTTCAGTTGCTTGTCTACATGCTTGTGACTTTTTCCAATGCATTTCATAGCATGACATTTGCTTCAATTGAATCTGAAACAGCCACCTTTTTTAATATTACATCAGTACAAGTTAATATTTTGGCCATTATATTTTTCTTTCTCTATATACCGGGTACGGCTTTGGCAATAAAGGCGTATCAAAAGTTTTCCATGCGCAATGGAATGATCATCGGTGCTCTTCTAAATTCGGGCGTATGGATTCGTCTATTCGCACTCATCTCACCTAATCGTGGCTACGCAGCTCTTGTGATTGGTCAAATTTTTCCGTCTATGGCAGGACCTTTCTTTCTGAACTTGACCGCAGAATTCGCTGCTCGATGGTTTCCACCAAAACAGCGTGATATTGCCACGGCTTTATGTTCTATGGCCAATCCATTAGGTGGTGCTGTCGGTTCTCTTCTACCATCGCTCGTTGTCATTGATGGTTCATCATCGCACCAATTTTTCCTTCTTTTATTGATTGAAGCTGCTTTCACTACATTGGCAGCATTCTTAGTTATTGTCGTCATTCGATCAGAACCTCCATCGCCGCCATCACCTTCAGAAGAGCATCATCAATCGATCGATATCAGGGAAGATCTTAAGCGTTTGCTAACTAATCGTCACTATCTTATTCTTCTCTTCGGCTTTGCTCTTGGTTTGGCTATGGTCAATTCGATGACCACTGTACTCGCTCAGCTTATCCAACCGAGTGGATACTCTAGTGAAGATGCAGGCATATTCAGTGCCACGCTGATTGTGGCAGGTATTCTTAGCTCATGTGTAACAGGTGTGATAATGGATCGAACACATGCCTATTTATTGATGCTCAAAGTGCTACTAGGGGGCGTGTGTGGCTCAAGTGTCTATTTCATTGTCATTCTTCGGCCTCATATGTTTTATCCATTAGCTGTTTCAATAGGCCTTATGGGTTTATTCTTACTGCCACTCTTGCCCGTCTCGTTTGAGTGTGCCGTCGAATGTACTTATCCGGTACGCGCTGAATGGTCCACTGGATTACTCTTGTGTGTAGGTAATGTGCTAGGCGCTATTTTTATCTTCGTTCATGGTTATCTCATCAAACTGGCACCAGTCTATGCATCTGGTCACATATTTACGCCTGCTTCCATGTTCATCGTAATTGTATTTTTTATCAGTGCATCGGCGCTATTTATCTACAAGGGACCCTATTTGAGAATGGAGGCTGAACGTATGACTATGGCCAGATCTTCTGTTAACGTGTAGTATGGTTTTGGGTGGGTGTGGGCATAGAACTTCGAATTATCTACGCTATATCAACATCGTCATCCATGCATCCTTCTCAACGATGGCTTTTTAAACTTTGATTTTGAGAATTTCAAAGCAAAAGTTCATGAGAAGAATATGAATAGGGGCAATTCGTTTGATTATATGAAATCGAATAATTACATATATTTTGAGCTTCATTTATTTACGTCGAATCATCTGAATCATTCGAAGCAATTTCAAGAATATCTGCTAGCTATAAGATTGATGAATTGCAGTAACTATTCAAGCATCAAGTTTTATCAAATGTGGTGTGGATGTGGGTGTTGGTGTGAGTGTGAGTATGAATCATACACAAAAGATCAACACCCACATTCCCACACCCCACCCACACCCATATTTACACTCGCACCCCCACACCACCCACCCTGCTCATCAAATCCGAGCAACAGTTAGACTGTTCAAAACTCCATGCCCATCAAATCGTCAATATTTTATGTTATTTTTTGAACATGATACAACAGAAGAGAAATATATTGGATTTATTTTTTTTTTAAGAATTGATTTTTCTCACTCGTCACAACATTGCTTGATTTTGAAAATGACAACAACGATATGGTTTCAAATTGCTTTATTCAACGTCGCATAGTTGTATTTAAACTGAAATTTCCTGGTTTGACTGTGACCGTAAATTTTTGAATTAGTAGTTGTCGTCGGCGAAGCACTTTTTCGAAAATTTTTTCTTAACGCCACTTATCAATGCAAGACAAATGAAAGGAAAGAGAAAAATGACGAAATAACAAAGAAATATGAAATACTGGGTCGCTTCGATTCCAATATCCTTTGATAAATCACAAAAGTAAGCTATGTTAATAATACTGAGCGGAACATTGAAGGCCATGTTAAGAAAAGATAGAGACATGAGCTGCATTGTCATTTTGCGGCGCTTGCGCCATTGAATTGGCAAATGAGAACGATGCTTCTTCGAGAGGATTCGAAAAATGAAAGTCAAACTCAGCGATGCTTCGAGAAATATTGGTGATGCAATATTGACAATTCAGTCCCACATATTCATGATTGGATTATATGCAGAGATGGGCAGCTCCGACCATTTCTCGCTCCAGCTCGGCTCCAGCTCTGGCATCAATAAAAAATCCCGCTCCGGCTCCCACTCCGCTCTAGTTCCGCTGTAATGAAACTTGTTTTTGCTATTTTTGTTGAAGTTTGATGATGTAGAGTAAATTTGACGTTTTATTTCAACATATAGAATACAGACAAAACAAACTAGTTCTCGATAAATTTAAGTTAGCCTGATTGCAATATGAAGAATATTTAAAATGTCAAATAGACTAGTGAATTACAGCAAATGTCAACTGTATTTTAGTAAATTAAGCATTGACAGTGTATTCTCAGGGGGTCGACTGTGATGAGGACACATTAGGCTGTGACTCGAGGAAAACACCCTTTCAACTAGAGTAGAGGTAGCCGATGCATAAACTACTCTTGTAGTAAGGGTGTGGGTGTCAGTTAGGAGACATGAAGACTTACTCACACCCACACCCACACACCCGCACCCACACCTCACACCCACACCCACACACCCGCACCCACACCTCACACCCACACCCACATCCACACACCTCACACCCACACCTAAACCCACACCTCACACCCACATCCACACCTACACCCACACTCACACTCGCACACCCACACCTCAGACCCACATCCCACACCCACATCCACACCCACCGACACCCTCTCAACCGTTTACTCCACTTTTTCTAACATATCTACCAAAACGATGTCGCTACACACAATAATCACCTTCTGCTCTCGAACTATTGCCTTGTACCATATATGCTTTACCATAGCTATGATTCATTTTTTTTTATTCTCTTCTTTTTCTCTCTCTTCTCTCACGCTCACTTCTTATATAAATGAATTCATGTAACCAAGTCGACGTGTTAATAGAGTAATTATTTAATTCTTTCTTTTTTTTCTCTTTCTTCTCTTGTAAAATTGTGAACCTAAAATGGAACAATAAATTTAATGAAAAATAAAGCTGTAAACAGAATTCTTACTCCAGAGTTGTGTAATACCGTAAAAGAAAAGAAAACAAAACAAAAATGAAAAGAAATGAGAAAACGATGTTGAAGTAAACTGGCATTCGCTTGTTGTCACGGAAAAAACACAGTGTGCAAAAACACAAGAACACCATCAGTTGAACGGTTAGTATTACTTCTTTTTTGTCTCAATCGCATTGGAAACTGATAAGATTCTTACTAAAACCTATACGAATATGTACCAATCAACATTTTTTAATAAATTTAGTTTCGAACAAATGTTATTTTCATTAGAAAAAAATAGTTGTGTAAATAAGATAAAACAAAACATCTTTATATGATAAAAAAGGCTCTTTTTTCGTGTTTGCATTGACTAGAATACTTGCACAACAATAACATCATTTTAGGGACATACAAGCCGTCATCATCCTTCTGAATGTCTTTTAATTGTGAGAGAGTCATAAAATGATGACAAGTATTATCTTTTTGCAGATATTTTTTTTCTACGAGGTGACATTTCTTCGTCCATCTGTTTACATAAGACATTTTTGGTCGATACATTTTCGCACATTACGGTTCTCCGCCGATATTGACACGAAAAACTAATTTTTTCGTCTCATCATGAATTGAGAGATCTCAAGAGTAGAGAGTGGATGAGAGCAAGGATGAAGATAAGTGACTGAAGTTGTGGAAAGTAAATGTATACGTTTGTATAAGTGTATGTATTTTATGGATCGCTTTCCCATTTACACTCGCATTCTTACAGTAAAGAATAGCGCAGTATCTTTTCCTACAAATAGTAGCACGAAACTCTTCGTATTTTATGTAACGCCATATGTTCTTCTCTATTTATATTTATTTGAAGACCATAAACCGTAGGTAATTCTCGTTTAGAGTGTGTTCGATAGCGTTAGTTAAAAAAGAGGAATCATGACTTACTCCCAAAATGTGTCCAATATATCCTCTACGCGTGTTAAATGGGTGTGGAATTCCAATGCAGATCCATTCTCAAAGTCAGAATCAGCCAATTGGCATTATTATTCAGATGTCGAAAATATGATTATCGAAGAAGCATTTGCAGGTGGTAAAACTCATGTTATGTTGGATGACTACCATATTGACTTTAAGAATAACGTTCAAATTTCCAACAATGACGTTACTAAGCAACGACCAGTCAAGCGAAAAATATGTGGTGAAGACGAAAAAATTCTACGAGAAGATAGATTTCTACCCAATCCGATTGCTCCCGATCGCCCTTTCAGTGGTCGCTACGGTTTTATTTCACCTTTTATAAAAGAAGTAGCAAAGCATCTGAACATTACAAAAGACCAACTACCTTCCAGAAATAAGTCAATTGTTGCAATGATCGTAGATCAAACAGTCCTTGGTATTATTGAGGAGGGTAAGAAAATGGGCAAACAAAGTGAAGCGGAAAAGATGGCAAAGAACTTAAGAGAAAAGAAAGATCTCGGAATGAAAGAAGTTTGGCGGTGTTGTGCGCATCTTTATACTTTGGAAAGTTTTCTATATAAGAAATTAAATGAAGTCATGCGATTGATAGGAAGTGAACAACACGAACAAGTTTGGCGAAGTAAAATAAGTACCCTAGGCCCATTTTGTCTACTTCTATGGGACAATCCATTTAATAGAAAGATGGTCCAACCAGACACAGTACTGTATCGAGGAGCCAACGTGCCTGACCATTTAATTACATCGTTCAATGAGGAGTGTTCGAAATGTGAAAAACCATGGCATACTTTTCAGGCATTTACTTCCTGTTCTCGCAATCGTAAAGTCGCTGAGAACTTTGGCAATGTCTTATTTATCATGAAAACTCATGTTGCTTTTACTGTTGATCTTAGTTCGCTATCCCAATATCCTGATGAAGAAGAAGAGTTATTATTTCCTGGTGTTTCTTTTACGATTGATCGAATGGAATTTGACAAAAACAAGAAAAAGCACTTGATCTATTTAACTCTTCAACAGCGGCATAACAGTAAGTAAAGATGATTTTTTACTACTTCTTCGTGATCACCATTTGTATATTTCGCTTACACTTCTCTTTCGTTCTGTTCTGTTGCCCATCTGAGAACCAGTTTAGCAAAAGATTGAATCACACGACATCAATGTTTAAAGTTTGACTCTTCCAATAATTAAAACACAATAGTAACAATATCACAGAGAAGCTCTTGTTAGTTCACGTATTTTCGTTACCAATCACAGGATTTATGCTTAACTATTACCTTTGGTCACTTTCGTCATTCTGTATAAAGTTTATAGTGAAAAAGCTAGATATCTAGTTTAAGATTTTTGTCTATAGTGATATGATACAAACATGATTACTCCTGACGATAGCTTCGAAGTGTTATCGACGTCCATATTCATGGAAAATTTCCCAGTAACTCCCACTTGTCGGAAGAATTAATAGGTTCTGATTTTGACTTTATAGCTGTTCATATATCTTACAATCAGCACAGATATTCTACTAATTGTGCCGATAGGCACACCAGTAGTGCATGAGATCCTTTATATGGGGAATTCTCATTTTTGATACTGCGTGTATGCGTATTCTTCTTTTTTGTTCTTCTCCCTCTCCTTCGTCTTATCCTTCTTTTTTGTTCTGTAGTCATTCTTTTCTATATCACTATCCTTCGTGTTCATATATATAATGGTGTACTCGGTGTGGTATGAACACGTACGTCTTATGCAGTGATGAAGTAGCTCAATAAACATCATTGTCGAGAGTAGCGATAGAGTTACAACTTCATCATCTTTTCATTTTCCGTTACACTGATCACAGAATATTCAGTATTCTATACATGTAATAAATTTGAAGTTTCTATGAACCCAATGAAAAACGCTATATACATAGTTTCGATTGCTATATCAGGAATCTCAAAGTAGAAAATCCGTCTATGCTTTATAGATGAAACTTCCGCTCATATTTACGATAACAAGACGAAATAGAAATGCTTCTACGAGTTCTTGAATTATGAGGACGAAGTTTAAATAAAAACAAAATGTACAGATACGAAGAACATATAAATGAAAAATAAAGTCTACAGATTATAAAAATTTGTCGTGCAAGTATAGATGTAAGAAGATATAACCAACAAAGTTCTTAGCTGAGTAATCTTATTTAACCCTTTCAGGTCGGAATTTTTTTCTATCAAAAATTGGTTCTTGTTATTAGTTTATTGAATCTGGCTCAAAATCTACCCTTAAGGATACCCCGCTTTCCTCGCCCAAAATTTTTGTTTTTTTCATTTTTGGTTTTTTTGTGGCTATTGTATAGTTTCAAGTACTGTCTATCTACTAACTATATTTTGGAACCCAACAATTGCCTTTAAATATTAAAAAATTCGAGGAGAAATTAAATTTACATAGTGAAAATAGCTAAAATTTTATATTTTTTGCTTTTTTCTCAAAATTAAATTTTTAGTAGGAAAAGTACTGTTTCGCCCCCGTTTTTCCGGCATGGTAAGAGAGATCGAGTTGAAAGTTTTTTACATATTCTACTCACCATTTGGGTTGAGTATTTTTTTTCTTTTCAAGAATTATTGGTCTGGTGATTTTTGGCAGCTTTCACAAAATTTGCTAGAGGAATAAAAACAAGCGTTTTTTAGGGTAGGCTCAGTACTTTGACTTTTTTATCGAAACTATAAAAGATAAAAAGAAACTAAAAAAAAATATGCACCTCAAACAGTGTCTACTACCCGTAAAAAAATTTTCAGCTCAATCAAACATATCGTCTTAGAGAAACGGAGGCGAAAACTGGGGCCATTTTTCGACATTGTGACCCTATTATCTCATAGAAGACAGCATCAGGGAATTGTGAGTCTATGGCAACTTTTGCTATACTCATCAAGATCTATCTGCCCTGAAAACTTCAAATTTTTCTGATGAGCCGTTCTCAAGAAACCCCGGAAAGGGGACCCTTAAAAACTTTATGGTATTCAAAGAAACAGTTTCTCTCGTCTGTTACACAAAAAAAACAGTTTGCAATCAGAGTATTCGATGGTTGATCGAACATGTACTTCTTTTGGGCTACAGCAAGTACATCTCCTTCGTGTTTCATTGACAGATAAATGCATTTCACCATATAACTGAACGTGGCGATGGTAATTTACACTTCTTATCTGAAGTAGGTCTTCTAAGATTTGTTCGTTCAGCACCAGAACCAAGAAACTAAATCATCGAAACCAAATAATTTAAATACAGTAAGTCATTCTAAGCTAGTTGATTGTAGCAGATAAATGGGTTAGCTAAAGATGCATTGAAGAAAAAGACGAAAAGTCGAAGCCATTTTCTTCGAGACTTCCGATCAAAGCTGTAGTAGGATATTTTCTGATTTAATCGATCAACTCCATATGTAAGCTTGTTGTAGTCTTTTATTACTTTTGGGCAGTTAACTTTAATAAGCTGTTCATTTTTCGACCATCGAGAGGTTGGAACGATTCCAGTGTTTTTACAGTCATTTGACGCTAGAAAGACATGCTTCGTATCCATCCATTTAAAGATAATAGATCTTATCGGACATGCTCGTAATACAATATGTCAGAGGAAGAGAGGGAAACTATGGCATTATTGTACAATCACAGAAAGAAAAAGCGAATGTCTGAGAAGAATGTATACAGCGTCAAGAAAAGATATGTATAACATGACAGTTGGAGCATTCCGTGGTCTCTATGTATAAGAAATTTTGATACGTAAATGTAAATGAAATATTTTTTCCAGCGGGAAAACATGTGGTACAACCCTTGTACTACCGTCCTAAAAGGGTTAAAAAGAGTAGACAGATGTTCGTATTTCATTTTTAGATCACGTGCTAAGAGAATATACGTTGCTTTTCAGAGACCAAAATCCTTGGGTGAAGTATCAGTTGAATAGAGCATACTATTCATCAATTGAAAAACTGGATTTGAAAATTGTCTCGATAAATTAGACATTCGGTTCAGAATAGACATGCACCAAAACAAAAAGTTTTGATTTTGAGATTTTGGCTTTGATACGGTTTTGGTATATGTCTAGTTCAGAAGGATTTAACAATCTAAATCAACAATAAAATCGGAAACGCAGAAGAATTGTACTATAGTCAAAATCAGAGTGACGATAGAGGTACAACGAAGGCAAGAACTTTGAACAATGGAAAACCTACTTTTTCATCTTGCCTCTTGCAAACCTCAACATGCCTCCCTCTTCAGGCCAACCATTGATGAGTTTTATTGGGTAAATTCTCAACTTTGAATCGAATCTAACTTATACTATAAGATTAGTTTCTCAATCAAAATGACTTCTACTGATCAAATCATAGAGAGCTCAAATTAAAGATCAAACAGTACAAGCCCATTCCAAAGTTCCAGCTTATCTACATCTAGAAATAAAATCTGAACTAACGCTAAGTGAATACAAATATCTACTTACTTATTACTCGATCACACTCGCTTATGGTCATACCTTACTCAATAGAACTGGAACTGTTCATTAAAACATCATACCAAAAATATATATGATATCGCGACAACAACCACATATATATGTATTTCTATCATTTCCTTCAACAAACAATAAAAGCGTCATTTGAAAGCGTTTTAGACAAATCTTGCTCCACTTAACGCTAGAAAAACTCTGGATCCCTCACAACACTTCATTTTCAAAAAATCAGCTAGTTTAAAAGCCTTTTCTAGGATTTGACCAGCATCAGCTCGGAAAATCATCCAACCTGTCAAATGCAAAACACCCGAAGTATGGTCCTGATCGCTCTACTAATCTTCGTCTTGATCGTGATGATGATGATGCTGATAGAGATGGTTATGATGACGACTGGGATTGAGACTGAAGTTCGATTTACAACTTTGAACATTTCATTTTTCAAGCCAGAAAGTATTTTTTGGTTTACCTGTTTTGCACTTCTAATTTAAGAAATTATTAGATGTCTCGAAGAAAAATTTGACTATCGTGTGTTAAGAAGATGTAGGCTAATTTAGTGGGTTATTTAGAAAGCAATCAATCTGCTATTGCGTTCTATGGTGATTTTTCTGTTCGATATCAGAATATAGATGGTAAGTAAAGGTAATCAATTTTCCGGAAGAAACTTATTACATTTTACGATGTAAATGTAAGCGAAGACTTTTTGCAGCAAGATATGTTGAAAATGTCTTCAATAACTCTGTTTCTCTAATCAACCATATATTATTATCACTTATTAGTCAAATCGGACCGATGTACTTCTCCTGATTGCTACTTTTACATACGAGCGTAACCATAAATCTAAAGTGCTGTTTGATATAAAGGTATTCCTCCCTACATATCAAGATTTCATAGTTGAAGACTGAATTGAAAAGCCTAGTATTGAAGAGAATATTTCATCAATTTTAAAAATAGTCTCGGTTCTATGCGTAACTTCTGGCACTACTGAGATTGTGTTTTAGTGGCTAATGAATCATCTTGATCGCACTATTCTTAATATTGTTATGTTAGACTGTCACTAGCAAATCGATCAAATGGTCAGATAATTCCATTTTATAGGCTGAACATTTCTGAACACTTCGATTCAGAGTATATTTATAGAATTCTAACAATGGAACTGTGTGAGCTGTAACTCAAGAAGATTAGACATATTCGGCTCAAATTAAAGGTCTCACTGGCAAACTAACGAATTTAAAATATGACGCGCCTATGGCGTACCTGGACTGAGATATTCGAATTTCAATGTATACATAGTTTAGACATAAAACGGAAAAAATCATATGAATTATTCATATCTAGTGCTGTTTTGCAACTCATTGATTTTCGAACCAAAAGTTTCTAGAACCCTATTGAAAGTGATCGATCGTATTAAGATCACACTAGTTTTGATATCTTCTAATATTTTCATGGTATAGAAATGAAAAGGATGAGTTTTGATTCATGTAATCAGTATGTCATCAACATTTTCGTTTTTATTTATGGTGAACAAAAGTATACAATATTACAACATATGACCATTATCACTTCAAATGGAGATGAAGATCTTCAATTAAATGGCAAAAAAAAAGATGTTTTTTGCACCAAGTACAAACTAGTAGCGTTCATTCTTCACAATTGTTCATCGAACAGTAAAGATCATGAAATGTAAAGCAAACGCCTTTTGGTTTTTCAATTTCACCGACCGTTTCATTTGTTAGTTTTGCTTGTAAAAATCCATATTTAATAAGATTTTTGAATTGCCCAGCCGATAGAATGTCGGTGTGGGCATGGGCGTGGGTGTGGGTGTGGGGTATTGGTATGGGTGAGTGTGAGGTATGGGTGTCGGTTGGGCGCATAAAATACATTGACATCGCGCACCCACACTCCACACCCCTATTAATCAACATCTGATCAGATGAATAAATTAAAGAATTTATTAATATTAAAGATGTTGAGTATTGAATGTTAATTTCTTCTAACCAATTGAAGAATATTTTTCTAGAAATAAAGAAACATAAAACAATTGATCTTCTAAAAATACTAATCGATATACTTGAATGGATGAATCTTAAATTTGATGTAAATTCCATCTACTTTCATGTTGAGTGTCCATTTTCTTTCAATCCAAAGTGATGAACAAAATTCATTTAACTCTTTTGAACAAATTTCATATTGATGATTGTCATTGTTAATTTTACTATAATATCTCAAATCAAATTTATTTCATTGAGGAAAATAATCTCGAATTAACTGTTCCCATCGAGAAGCATGAAGATAAGTGATATCTTCAGATTGAGTAATAATCGATAATTTCTTTAATTTGCAATTTATTGTTCTAATAAATCGTTTAGAATTCACAAAATCAACAGTGTCCATATGTAAAGAAAGATAAATTAAAGTTTCTAATCGAATCGATGGAATCCATGATTTATTTTCAATACCATTCAAATCATAGCTAAATTTCAAATAACGAAGTTGTGGTGTACAACAAGCAATTCCAGCAAGTTCTTGGAATGTACAATAATGATCGATCAGAAGATATTCTAGTGGACTTTGTTCATTGGCCAGAGTTGGTAATGAGACGAATAAATTTGTTTTATTCGGAACAAATTTATAATATTTTAATTTTGAAAGGCTAAATACTAATTGATAAATATCGGTTCCATGACTTGATTCATCAAACATGTCGATAGTTAAGTAATAAAGATGTGGTAGAAATGATAGTTTAGTAAGAATGGACATGAAGAGGTTGTAGTCTATATTCCAAAAACTAGGTGATTCGACATGATCAAGTGATGAATTGATTGTAAATGATGAGAGAACTCCTAAGATATTTGATGAAATAGATAAAAAAAGAAAAGATTTGAGATCGATGGTGACAGATGATTGGCTGTCAATGATGCATAAAATCATCTTGTCTAGTTAAACTAGAACATTGAATTTTGAGTAAAAGAGATGATGAAGTAATTAATTCTTGAAAACGTCGATTAAGATTATAAAACGCTTGATAGATATAACAACCATCGAGATAATCAAAGATTTTGATAAATTAATTCATTCGAAAGATTTTCGATAATAGTTATGGATAATCTACACAAATATTCAAGAGAAATATTCGATTCAATTAACATATAACTTACATTTCGTGATCAAGTTGGCTATTCTTCATCCGTTTATATGAATTCGATTTTCGTTTCACTTTATCCATATATGATCTGAAACAAGCACGTCAGTCATTCATATGTACAAGTAAGGAGACTTTTTATCGACATTGATAAACATCATACATAAGCCAATACTCATATTAAAGAGAAACTTCACATATATATGGTCGTCAGACATGAACAAATGATCTACTGACTGATAAAATGAATGAATGCGCTTACTTTTTAGTGACTATTTCTGAATGCATTGTGTGAATATTTTTTTTAAACTGGACCAAATATTAAGACTTATATATATTTAGAATCAGTGTAGTACGAGTAATAATGTATGATAAATATTATGCTGGCAATTTTTAGAAAACGAATAAATGACACTAGGTGATATTTTCTTGTGGCGGAGGGTTTGTCATGGTAACGACATAGAGTGGCTGAAACATGTACAGATATTCATTTACACATTATGTGCAAGCTATTGTTATTTGGGCTAAATTCTTTGCGTTTGACTGGTTTAAAATTTGCAATATAGTTTTCAATGAGTGTTTTATTTTTTGAATGGTACAGAAGTAAAAATACAATAAGAAACATAAAAAATATCAACATCAACAAGTATCAATAAAAAATCTAGATAAAAGTAACAAGAAAATAAAATATAAAAATAATATATAAAATAGTAAAAAAATATATAAAATAATAAAAAAAAATATATGAAATAACTATATAATTATTTTGAATTAGTCGAATGAAGTAAGATCATCAGATGAATCAATATTCTAAAATATTGCATAAAAAAAGAATAAATAAGTGAACTCTTAGTTTAATTTGCTCCGTAAACTGTACCTGATTTAAATCCAAAAAATCCAACGAAGAAACTTTATCAGAGCTGTACGCTACATGGTCATAGTTGATATTTTCATTTCCTCTGGCACAATAATCATGCGCATGTAAGATGATTTTACTCATATTCATAGTTGGAATTGATGCCTACAGCATTTATAGAGATTGTCGAAATAATGTTTTTCTGAACGTACCGATTCTTTTTGCTTTGTCAACAATGCTGGAGAAATTGATGTACGATTTGAACACTTTGTTGGATCACACGAACAATATATGATACATGGTTGTGAATATGTACCAAATTTGCACTTCTTACAGTTGCCTGTGCACTTGCAAGACTTAAAGTACGAAATAGTCTTTAAAACTGATAAATATAAAACACTACAATTACGTGGGGTAATGCAAATGTTTTTTCGTCCGACTCCATGAAAAGACTTGACTAAGAACTAGTTAAACAGCTATAATGCCCAGACATATTTAGGATTATTTGCAAATTTTCAGAGTTTTAAGTTCTGTGCTTTGTTGTAGTCTATCATTACTTTTATACTATGTAGACGTGATTTCAAAAACGTGTGTAGCAGGCTGAATAGTAGTGCTTTGTATATCAGTATTCAATCCCTTAATAAGTTGTATTAAAAAGAACAAAATACACAACAATGTGCAGTGTGAAAAGCTCTACAAGTTACACACGACCCTTTTTTATAGTTGCATGTTTTACTCTCCAAATGGACAACATTTTCAGCAATCAAATTTCTACGCTGCGAAAAAATAACACGAACGAAAAATTTCTTCTTTCGTATTTTACCTTTCCATCGCCTATACGAATTGTAGAACATTTCACACCGCATCTTGCCTCATATTCTATTTTTTTTAATAAATCATATTAGGTGATGCAATACAAAAAAAGGAAGTCCTCATTCGTATAGGATATTTGCAGTGTCGAAAATTGGCCGGCAGAATACGACTTTTTTTTAAACAAAAGGTGCCTGTATAATATAAACCATCATTTGCAAATTGTAGTTTTTCACGCTGCATATTGTGGTGTATTTTGTTTTTTTAAATAAAACACACTAGGTGATAAATGAGAAAAAATGCATTCGTCGCATACCAAAAAAATGACATTTTTGCAGCATCGAAATTCTATCGTTCAAAATTTTGTCGATTTTCAAAACAAAAGGTACAGCTGTAAAAGTAGCTGTCTTATGCAAATTGCAGAGCTTTTCACGCTGCATCTTGTGGTATGTATTGTTTTTTTGTTTAATAGAAAACATCACGTAAAACCAAGATGCAATAAGAACAAAACAAATTTGTTTTTTATCAAAATCACATTTTTTACAGTATCCAAGTTGGATCGCTCAAAACTTTGTCGATATTGAGGGTGTGGGTG